ACTACTGGGAAAAAAAAAAAAAAAGTGGAGTTGGAAAATGGATGAAAATAGGGCAGAATGAGGGATTGGAAATCTTTTGCTTCTCTAGCTGATACAGAGCTGTTCCTGGGACTTCATTTCCCTCAGGTAATTGAGGATGCACCTCTGGGATCTCACTGTGAATCATACTGAGACTTGGTTTTCTGTTTCTGGAAGCAGCCATAATAATTTTAAGGGAAAAAAATCAGTGCTGACAGCACAGAACAGCCAAGCAAAGTGAGCTCAGACAGGATGAAAGTGTTTGGAGTCTGCTGCAGCAGTTGGCTTTTAGGCTGTCTTGAGACATAATTGGAGTTTTAAAAACTGTTCAAAAATTCAAGGCTGTGCAGAGCCTCTGTGGGATTTCACAGCTACATTCAGGTCTGACCCTGCCATTTTCCAAGCTGAGTAGTTGTGGTTTTGTGACAATTTTCATGAGTTTTCAGTGTACACGTGTAGTGTCAGCAGAGTGAAATCCAAGGAGCATTGCACAAAGAAAACATCCTTTATAGTTAAGTACTCCTGTGGTGGCTGAGGTGTATTGTCCTCCTGATACAGTTTTTAAGGGAGACAAAAACAGCAGCCGCAGAGCTTCCAGCGGGCCCCTAGAGAGATTTATTGCCACTTCCCAGCATTAAAACCTGTCCCAATTGTGGGGCTGGCTGTGTTGCAGACCCGGAAGACGGCGGGGTGGCTGGCGGCAGAGCTGTCCCGGGAGGGCCATCAGGTGGCCCTGCTGAGCGGGGAGATGATGGTGGAGCAGAGAGCTGCCGTGATCGAGCGCTTCCGAGAGGGCAAGGAGAAGGTGCTGGTGACCACAAACGTCTGTGCCAGAGGTAGGGCACGGGGGAGTGGGGCCAGGTGATGCCTTAGGATTTCAGCTTTTGTATTTTCATGTATTTGTAACCCTGCAGTTCTTTAGTGTGAAACTCTAAACTCCACACACAGCGTCAGCTGCTGCTCTCCCATTTTGGTCACACACAACAATTCCTCTCTGGGCTGGCAATCAAGGACACCTCACTGCCTCAGGCCCCGAGAAATGGAAACAAAAGGGAGCTGGGGGAGCAAACTTGGGGTAAATGACTTCATTACCTGAAGCTGTAATTGGAGGATTAACCCCCAATATGCAAATGGACCAAACTTATAAAAGTATGAAAACCTGTGACCCGTGGTCCATTTTTGGGTGTAGCCCCTGGGGGCCTGCCCTAAATGTACTGAAGGGCCCTTAAATAAATACAAGTGCTTTTTATTCCCTTAATATTGTCTGGCCTCTGTTTTTAGGTAGCCCAAAAAGGCATCACAGGGAGGACGGGTAGCAGCAGTTCCTAAGATAATAAATAGCCCTGGCCAGCCTGCAGGAAGAATTTGCATCCTCAGGTGTTCCAGTTGGGAGAAATTGGTGTCCTTACACTGCATGCCTGTGGGCAAACACAGGTTTCCTTGTTGGCTTCCTGCTGCTTGAGATGGAAAAGTCCATCCTGTGAGAATCTGCCACCAAGTCTGTCTTGTGGTGCTGACATTCAGGGTTTGCAGTGAACGTGTGTGCCCAAGAACAGAAAACTGGAAAATAGTGAAATCCAATTCACTATCCCAGTAGGAATTTGTGGTGTAATTTAACATCCTAGAGCAGTTAAGACAGGATTGTACGTGGAAAAACACAAGTGATCTTTAGAGTTTTGCAGATAAGGAGAGAGTTTCTGAATTATTTAAGTGCTGGTAGAATTTCCAAAATATTTAAGTGCCTTTGGCTGTTTCAGTGGGACTCTCTGCCCTAACAGCTTGATAGTTTTTATTTCCAAGTACCCCATGAGGATATTGTGGAAAAACTCCACTCCACAGTCTGAGGAGGCTGTTCCTGCTCCAGAAAGATTTAAGTTGTGTAACCCGATGCTTTCTGTTTGTCAGGGATCGATGTAGAGCAGGTGTCTGTTGTTATCAATTTTGACCTGCCTGTGGATAAGGATGGAAATCCAGACAACGAGACCTACCTGCACCGGATCGGCCGCACCGGCCGCTTTGGCAAGCGAGGGCTGGCCATTAACATGGTGGACAGCAAGCACAGCATGAACATTCTCAACAGAATCCAGGAACATTTCAGTACGTACCCTCAGCCTTTCTCCTTTCTCTGAACTCTTGAATCACTGCAGAATTTGGCTTGTTGGATGCTGAGCAGGTCTGAGGGTGTTTGTTGAGCCTTAAACGGGTGGCAGAGGAGCACAGCAGGAATGTTTGGTGTAGTGTCCCTTGGGATTGTGACCTGCTGCCTGTGACAGGAGCAGAATAAATCAGGCTGTGTTTGCTGGATGCCTGCATGGTCCTTGAAGTGGATGTTCCAGGGGGGGCCTTTGATAAAAGGAAACAGTTTTAATTGATATTTTTAAAACCTGACTGAATTCCCTGATAAACCAGAACTCAAGTCCAGCTAAGGAGAGCAGCATTCCCTTCTCTACTCAGTGTTAAAAAATAAGAATATTTCTCTTCTTTCCCAGACAAAAAGATAAACAAATTGGATACTGACGACTTGGATGAAATTGAGAAGATAAATAACTGAAATAGCTGCTGGAACTGGTGTGTGCCCTGCTGTGGAAGCTCTCCCACTACAATTGGATCAGCGTTTGGATTGGCACAGCCTCTCGGCTCGTCCGAAAAGGACTCTTCAAGATATGAGTACACAAAAATTACCTCATTTTAAAAATTGCAGTTGGACTTCAAATTGTGCAACTATGGGGAGGAAGAGGAAATGTTTACAGAAGCTTTTAACATTTCTTAGTTTAGCCTTAAAATGGGATGATCTTTGGAATTCTGAGAAATACACTTGCCAAAAGAGAGGCAATAGGGAATTATCTAAAATTTTAAAAGCAAAAAAAAACATTGCCTTTAATTGGAATAATGTGTAACATTAACCTGATCAGTTTAAATTCAACAGCTGAATATATAATGGACATAAGGAAAGGAAAAAGAAAAAAAAAAAAAAAAAGGAAAACCTAAAAGCCCCAAACAAGGCAGCTGGTTTTTGGCTAAATACTCAACTTGTACAAAGTAGGATGTCATTCTCTGTGGCGCACCCCTGAGCTCTTTAAGACTCATTTCTGGCTTTCTGATGGATTTGTCCTGCTTTTCCTCACATAAATTGTCCTGAGGATGTCTCCAGTAGCTCCTACTCGCAAACACAGGTGCCGTGTCGCTTTGCTGGGCAGTATTTTCTTTTCCTTTGTCCTGGATTTGTTGGGATGGCTGCTCTGATTTGGGTGGTGGTGACACTACAGAAGTTCATCCCAAATGTTGAACCTGGCTAAGGTGTGGGTGGGTGGGGTGGGAGGGGCAGTATGAAGGGAACTGTACTCATGAAATTCACCGTGTAATTAAATGCACCGTGCTGTGAAGCTCAGCATGGATAATGTACAGAGCTGTTGTGCTTCACCCATCAGATACAGGAATAAAAGAACAAAAAAGTCATGATAGCCTGGATTGACCAAAAAAATTTACCCTTAGAACACCAAATTCACCTGTTGCAGTACGTTTCAGTACCAGAGTTTTGAGTTAAATTGCTCAGCCAAATTGCAGGTGGGAAGTGCTCCATAGTGCAAAGTAAGTTGTTGGTCCCTGCCCCGGGTGTTCCGTGGAGAAGGGAGGATTCCCAGCTCCTGGAGAGGGAAGGATGGTGCCTCCTGTGTGCTGGGACCACTCTTGTGCACACAGCTGGACACTGTGGGCTGTTCCCCCAGCCCAGTCTCCAGAAGAAGGAGGCTCCTGAACCAGACCTTAGGGTGCACAGCTCTTTGTTGGGGAGAAATGGGACATGCATGAGCAGCCATGGGCCTGCTACTCAGTGTGGGAATCACGTCAAAACAAATGTATAAATTGTAAATTTAAACTGAATTGTTTTCTTTGCAATTTTGGCCATCATATTCTGTTCAAAGACAGGAATATGGATCCTTTTACCAAGTAAAAAAAGGCTCATTTAAAATGTACCTAAAATTTTAGGAAATTGTGCACCCTTTTATCAATTTGTATAAAGGCTTTAGTGAAGAAAAAAAAAAAACAGCTTAAAATTAAACCTTTTGTATTCTGGGGTGTATCTATTTTTATTCTGTTGGAATCCTATTTAAAGTGGCAGGTGAGTGAGTGCTTGTGTGTGGAGTGGCAGACTTGATTTAATCACCTACTCTCCTAGTACAGCTGATTGACCTGGTGACAGCAGAGTATTGGGTTGAATTGTCATGGAAGCTGCTGCTGGTCCTGTGTGCTGTTTCTAATGTACTTTTAATTGGAATTAAAGAACACATACTGAACAATCCCTTTGCTGACTTCTTGCTTGAGTACTGTGTTGGTGTTTAAAAGCCTCAATAAGGACATTCTCAGCCAAAAGTTTTATATTTGTGACAGAATTAATTTGAATGCTGAAATTCTTAAAAGATTCCCACAAAGAAGTTTGTTATATGATGCCACACCATAAAAGAGGTCAGATAATCCCCCATGCTTCTTGTGCTGGGCTGCTAAATTCTCCCCAGAACAGTTCTGAAGGGAAGAGAAGGAGAACTGAGGGAGAAAAGAGGTGTTTTCCCTGTGCTGTGCTTGCCCAGATCAAGACTTGGTATTTTTTGCCCATCTTTGGAGATGCTGTAGCATGGGTGAGGTGATCAGAACCAAACTCCTCCAGCTTTATCAGGAGGAACATCCTCCAGCACGAGCCAGGTTACTGAATTGTCTGTTCTGTTCTTGCTCAGAGCCCCTGGGCTCTCACAGGTGCCTGCTGGTCCCCAGCTCTGCTCACAGCTTGTCACTGATGCAGAGTGCTTCCTCCTTGGCTGCAAGCCTGCACTGAGCACAGCACACAGAGAAACTTCAGCAAGGTGGTGTGGGGAGCAGCTGACCATCCCAAGGCAGATTTTGGCAGCCCCTGAGGTATTTGCCATCATATCAAAAGCTTCTTAAGAGCAGGTGTGATGGATAAACCTCAGCTCATGTAAATAAAGTTCAAGTTTCAGCCCAAAAGGTTTTATTTAACACAGGATGGAAACACTCTGAAATGTAGGAGTAACACAGTGCACACAACAGGCAGCAATAGAGAATTAACTACCTAATAGTGAAGGAAACAGGGAAAATGGTGCCTGTTACTGAAACCAAGTGAAATACTTTGTGATTTTGTTGAAGACATCCATGTGTTTCGATATCTGGGATTGCTGCTGAGTGATTCCCATCACCAACAGCAGCAGGGACCACTGTTCCATCAGATGCTGGTTTTACAAAGCTGCTGGACCCTGAACACTTGATTTAGCATCAGGTACCAAACTCATAGCCAGCACCAGCAATCAGCTTTCTGCTCCTGTTGTGTTTATGCTCCTGTGCTGAGTTGGTTTGGTAGTTACACTGAGCTTCAAAATAAATTGGATTTGCCTCAGAACATTTAAACTCACTCATCTCTGTGGCAAGTGGTCCATTTTTAAAGGAGATTAAAATCACTGCCTTTGAAACTAGAAGATAGTTCTTTTTTTTTTAGCACAAGCATATTGTGTTTGCCTAAACCTGCAAGTCATCCAACCAGCCTTTTAATGATGGTTTACTAAAGATGGCTTATTCCTTGAGCCAATTCCCAGTCAAATCCCATTAATACCTTATTTTAAAATTCCCAAAGCAGCACTTGCTTCTTGAACTAACTCACTTCAGTGTAGAGGGGTTAAATGGAATTATCTGTAGCATCTCTTCTTAACTATCCACCTAATGATCACATGAGCTAAGTAAGAGAAGGAAGACTAAGGAGAAAATCCTGCTGCTTCCCAAGACAGCCAAAATAATAACGATTTGTTTTTAAAAAGATGATTTAGTCACAGTTAAGAGCTGGACTGAGGTTACCCAGAAAGACCTGAACACTCACAGATATTTTACAATCAATCTTGCAATTTAATACTTCACAATAACTCATTAAGGTGTTATTACTGTTATTTCCAGATGGTCTTGGGGTTTGAGTTCCTTTTCAGTCTCTTGAGAAGCCGTTTAGGATAATGATACTGAAGGTGGTCCTGTAGCTAAACCAGTTCTGTTTCTACTTCCTTAAATGCTGCTTCTGCATTCAGAGAAGTGGTATCTTCCCAAAACACAGAAAAGGACAAGGGGAGAGGTCTTGGAAACCTGAGTTTACAAAGAACATCAGCAACTTCAACAAACCAGAAAGGCTGAAGGTTGGAGGTGCTGAGGCAGAAATTTGTGATGGCACAAGTGATACAAGCTGCTCTATGAATCAGGTTTATGCATGTGAAATACTATTTCAAATACTATTACATATCCATAACTCTGCTTCACAGGGATTTTATGGGAGATGGAAGATAAAGAAGTAGGTGCAGAAAGCATCAGACTCCATTTTTTGGAAGAAGCAATGCCCCCCAGTGAGCAGAAGGACCTACAGCATCTCTGTGAGCCTAAAGATCTGCATCGTGCTGCTCATCCCATCGGATGCACAGCACGGACTTGGGCAGGATCCCGCACTCCTGAAGGGACTTGGTAAGGTCAGAGAAGCTCCTCCGGGGAACCTCCATGGTTTCAACCCTGCAGTGTTGGTAGTTGGCCAGCAGCTTCTGTCCTGCCACGGCAAGGACTGTGTGGAGGCTGTCAGAGGGCTTGAAGTGGTGCTCAAACCTCTGCCCAGAGGGAGATCGGACAGCGAGCAGCACACGCGGCTCTTCCGGGCCCGCAGGGAACACCCGAGGGCTCTCCTGCCTCGCCTGCCTTCCCCACTGCTCAGGGGCACAGTGCCCGTGTGAGCTCTCTTCAGTGGGAATGTCACTTCCTGACAATGTGCTGGCAGATCCCTGTCCTCCAGAAAAAGTCCTGCTGGCTTTTGGAGCATCCTCCTTTCCCTCACTCACTTCCAGCCCGTTGGTCCGTTCAGCCAACGCTCCCACGGCGTCGCTCCCTGCGCCCTTCCGGATGATGGAGGGGAGCACCCGGTACTTGTTCAGGGAGGAGGAGGAGGTCTTCAAAGGCACTTGCTGCAGGAGCTTTGGGATTTTCTCATGAGACACCTGGGCAGGTGGGAACACTGGTTTTGTGAGTGCTGCTCTCCGGCTGCTCACTAATTCCCGAGGAGAGGCAGCCAGGGGGGAAGACGGCACATGGCACGGACAGGCTTCCATGCCCTGACGGTGGCTCAAGCTTGGCCTCTGTCCCTTGGCAGATTTGGGTCTGGAGACGTGCATGGGGACGGTGCTGGCCCACGGCAGAGTGGCTGTGGCCGGAGGGAGGCGGAGCTGAGCTGGTGCCGAGTCCCAGAAAGCCGCTGTGGCCATCGCACCTGCGGGCTGGGAGCAGAGGGAAAAGTTACAGGAACTGGCCAGGAGAGTTCAACCTCCCCGAGACTCCCACACTGTGCTGTGTGTCAGGTAATAACAGAATAAATCTGGGGTATCACTGCATTCTCTGTGGTGCAGTAAGGGCTGAGTCACAGAGGGTAGGAGATGTGTTATTTGTAGGGACTGGCTTTGGCAGGAATTGTGTAAAGTTGACCCAGAGCTTTGGGGAGTTGTGCCCTTCGCCACTGAATGTAAGGTTTTGATGGAAAGAACAATTTCTTTCTTCTGAAGCTGGAAACTCAGTGCAAATGGGAAATGAGTGAAGCTCAGAGCAGAGGGATGAAGAGCAGCTCTGGGAGAAGAACAACCTGCAGAGCTGCCTCCAGCTCGGGGGGCCCAGCAAGGGAAGGACATGGAGCTGTTGGAGAAAGTCCAGAGGAGACACCAGAATGATCAGAGGGATGGAGCAGCTGTGCTGGGAGGAAAGGCTGAGAATTGGGATTGTTCAGCCTGGAGAGAGGAGGCCCCAGGGTGACCCAATTGTGGCCTTCCAGTACCTGAAGGAGCTGACAGGACGATGGAGAGAGACTGTGGACAAGGGATGGAGTGCCAGGACTAGGGGGGAATGGCTTCCCACTGACAGAGGGCAGGGTTAGACAGGATCTTGGGGTGAAATTGATCCCTGTGAGGGTGGGCAGGCCCTGGCACAGGGTGCCCAGAGCAGCTGTGGCTGCCCCTGGATCCTGGGAAGTGTCCAAGTCCAGGTTGGACAGGGCTGGGAGCAGCCTGGGACAGTGGGAGGTGTCCCTGCCCATGGCAGGGGTGGAACAAGATGATCTTTAAGTTCCCTTCCAACCCAAACCCTTCTGGGATTCCCTTCTAAACCAAACAGAGAGAACAGCCCCTGTGGTGCTTTGCCAGCGATGTGTTCGTTATTTCACATTTCATTTCTCCTCCAGCCCAGCACGGCCAAGGCAGAGTCCAGCACACCCTGCCCAGCCCCAGCTGACAGGCCTGTCCCTCCTGAGCCTCCAGCGAGGGGGACAGGGACACTCGCCCAGCTGACTCATCCCAGCTTCCAGGAGCCTGTGGGAGGGACAGGGGCTGCACCTTCCCCTTGCTGCTGCTAACAAATAAACTCCAGGGCAACAACGCGCTGAGGCAGAACTCCCAAACGCAAGGGAGCACTTACAATACCCCCAGTAACGCTGCCACTTAAACCCCCAAACAACCAGCCTGGCAGAAGCCCTGGCGGGACCCTCCGGCGGTGTCTGTGCTGCCCAGCACGGTGTGTGTTAGAGGGGACAGGCTGAAAACACAGGGTCTGCTGAGGGGTGGGGTGGGCAACCACAAGCCAGGGAGGGCTGTGCCCACAGGTGCCCCCAAACGGTGACCCCAGGGCCTGGGAGGCTGGGCACCTCACACCCCTGACCTGGCATCTGATCTGGGCTGGCTCAGGCTGGGAGGGACAATGGCAGCTCGTCTGGTGCCACCTCCCTGCTCCAGCAGGGCCAGCCCAGAGCACGGGCACAGGCTTGTGTGCGGATGGGTCTGGAATATCTCCGGGGAGGGACCCTCTCTGGGCAATGTATTCCAGGCATTTAAACAAGGCTTTCCTCATGTTCAGGTGGAACTTGCCGGGCATCAGTCCCTGCCCACTGCCCCTTGTCCTGGTCAGGGCTGGCACAGCCCAGGCAGAGCCCTCAGTGCCACAGCAAGGCCAGGTCTGAGCCCACGGCCGCGCCCCGCCGGCAGAGCCCGGCTCTCCAGCACGGTTCCAGAGCCCCAGAGCCGGATCCCGGTCCCTCCCCTGGTCCCGCTCCTTCACCCGGTCCCGGTGCCGGTGCCGGTCCCGCAGCGGCCCCGCCGTCCCTCACCTGTCCCGCGCCCGCCGCACGGCGCCGTTGCCGGGGCAACCGCGGCACTTCCGGGCGCGCGCCCCGCCCCGCCCCGCCCCCCGCCGCGCGCCTGCAGCAGCGCGAGAATGGGAACGGGGAATGGGAATGGGAATGGGAATGGGAATGGGAATGGGAATGGGAATGGGAACGGGAATGGGAACGGGAATGGGGAACGGGAACGGGAATGGGAATGGGAACGGGGAATGGGAATGGGAATGGGAATGGGAATGGGAATGGGAATGGGAATGGGAATGGGGAACGGGAACGGGAATGGGAATGGGGAACGGGAACGGGAATGGGAATGGGAACGGGAACGGGAATGGGGAACGGGAACGGGAATGGGAACGGGAACGGGAATGGGGAACGGGAACGGGAATGGGGAACGGGAACGGGAACGGGAACGGGAATGGGAATGGGAATGGGGAACGGGAACGGGGAACGGGAACGGGAACGGGAATGGGAATGGGGAACGGGAACGGGAATGGGGAATGGGAACGGAGAATGGGAATGGGAATGGGAATGGGAATGGGAATGGGAATGGGGAACGGGAACGGAGAACGGGGAATGGGGAATGGGAACGGGTTACGGGGAACGGAGAATGGGAACGGCAATGACAATGGGAATGGGGAATGGCAATGGCAATGGCAATGGCAATGGGAATGGGGAATGGCAATGGCAATGGGAATGGGGAAGGGGAATGGGAATGGGGAACGGAGAACGGGGAATGGGAATGGCAATGGCAATGGGAAATGGCAATGGGAATGGAGAATGGGAACAGAAACAGGAACAGGAATGGGGAATGGGGATGGGAATGGGAAATGGAAATGGGGATAGGAATATGAATAGGGATGGGAACAGGAACGAGGAATGAGGATGGGAACTGAAATGGGGGATGGGGAGGGGATGGGAATGAGGACGGGAATAGGAATGGAGATTGGGATGGGGATGGTAATAGGAACAGGGATAGGGATAGGGACAGGAATAGGAAAGGGAACAGTAATGGGAATGGGGACAGGAACAGCACTAGGAACAGCAGTGAGAACCACGATGGGAATGGGAAAGGAAGCAGGGATAGGAATGCAAAAGGGAACAGGGTGGAACAGGTGGGAGTGGGACAGCTGGGATGTCCCAGGGATGGATCCAGGTTTGGGACAGCTGGGATGTTCCAGGGTGGACCAAGGCCTAGAACCAGGGCTGGGAATTAGCTGGGATGTCCCGGTGTGGATGCAGGGATGGGGACAGCTAGGCTGTCCTGGGGTGGATGGAACCAGGGCTGGGAATAGCTGTGACATCCCAGTGTGGTGCCAGGGGACGTCCCCAGGCTCAGGGACAGAGCTGTGGGCTCTGCTCAGGGCCATGGCGTGGCCTCAGGCCTCAGTGTGGCCCAGGAGCAGCCCCAGGACATTGGGAACATTCGTCCTGCTGGACACGGAGGAGTGGGGGGAGCAGGGGGTGGCTCAGGGGCCTCTCACAAACTCCACCCATAGGTGACCGTGGTACCCCGGGGTGTGCCAGCCCTTCCACAGGAATTCCCATTCCTCAAACCCACCCAAAACAAAACCACGATGGTGTCACCCTGCTTAAATACCCAAATCTTTGGGATTTAGCCCTAACACTTTAAAACCAAGATGTTACAGCCTGTCCTGAGCAAAGGCAGCAGGATGGGAACACAAGACAGGGTTTAACCTCCCTGTGACATTATTCAGTGACCACTGAATCAAACCAGACAGATAAACCTCAAACTCGTGAATTGTGATGAAAACACCTTTTTAAAATTACACTTTGCACACAAGATCACAGGGGACCTAAAACAACTCTTTTGAAGGAGTTTCTTTGTGCTGGGAAAGCTGCAGCTGTGAGGGAGGGTGAGTCCTCCTGATCCCCCTGGCTACAAATGATCCCTGAGTCAGTTTTCTTTCTGGGAACACTTCACATAATACCGACCTTTTCCATCTTTTCCTGTTAATCCCTTTCTAAACCCACTCCTACTTAAGCAGCTGCTGCTCCCACTAACAGATGCCCATCGAAGGCAGCAAGAAACAAGCAATAAATTTCCACCATAAACTTGGGGTCTCCACCCTGCGAGGTGGGAAGATCAAGGCGAACCTGTGCACTAAAAAGAAATAAAATAAGTAGGGAAATAGTTTCCTATCAGCTCACCTCAGCCCAGGATGTTTAGCAATGTTGCAGATCAAAGCACACGAGGTATTTACACTTCAGTAAGATCTTGAGCAAACAGATGGGTGGCTGATACCCAGCTCTCCTTGCTCCATAGGAAGGCTAAAAAGTTCCACATTTCCAATGGCATAATAATTTCCATAGGTGGTTTTTAAGCCTTGAGTTTGTAGGTTAGTTAAAGACAGAGTTTGGCTTCATGTGGCCACTCCCCTGAGTGGATCCTCCACAGAGAGGGAAGGCTTAAAACGAGGAGATTTGGTTAAAAGTACGTGTGGATCCCAAATCCACACGATTCCATCCCTCTGCTCTCCATTTATGACTCTGGACTATGCTTTTCACCCAAATTTATCCAAACTCTACAGCAAAACCTCAGATTTTCTCTCCAAGTCCAAGGGCCTGCAATGCCAAAGCAGGAGCAGCACAGACAACAATTACCACAGTGGGGAAAACCTTCTGCAATGGGAATATTTTGTGGAGGAGGTGGGAAGGGGTTGATTAATTTATTATTAGGGATGTCCTGGTTTTGAAAGTCAGGTGGGGAAAGCAGGGGTTGGGGCTGTAACTCTGGTATTTTAGAGTGGTTTCTTGTGCTTATGGCAAGAGAGGAGGCAGGTGAGATGTCACTCCCCATCCTTAACAGGCTTGGATGGGGTTTTATTCCACTTGCAGCAGGAAATAGAAACTTAGAGGGAAGGAAAAGCCTGGGACAGAGAGCTCTGCCACCTTGGAGGGCAGCTGAGAGGTGACATTCCTTCCAGTGTCAGCTTTGGTGGCTCTCAGGAATTTCAGCAAAGGTTTCTCTTCTTGTCTCCAGTCCAGTCAGTCATTTCTTTAGAATTCCCAACCCAAATTTCCCTGCCCTAGGAGCGTGCTTAATCCCGGAGGGTGGGGCTGTGCTTATCATTCAATACCTGCATTTGT